ACATATGGTGTTATAAAACCGTGAGTACATACGCTACGGTTTGTGTCTCTTTTTTCCTTCTTCGTAGTTTTATGTTGGTTTATAGTACCACCCTCCCTCTCCTCACTGGAGTCTCATTTCAGGGTCTGTTACCGTGATAATGCCGCCATTGAGTTTATGAGATTGTTTGGATATATGTTTTGAACCAAGTTACCCAAATTGGTTACATACTGAAGCAACATTCGCATCAAATTTCGTTACTCACTAACACTTATGGTTTACGTATGTAATTTGGATTTTCGATCCAGGAATTGGCGGGTTCAAGGTAAACGAAGATGGTCAACCACATGACAAAGCAATATTTATTCGGGACCATTTCGAGAGAAAACTAAAGTTACTATTTTTCAGATGACAATGATATTTGACTAATTGGTATTATTGTTAAATGTCTAACTATCAACGAAAACAATGGATTTTGTACCAAGGTGTATAAATTGGAGTTTTTATAAAGAAATATAGTCACACACAATTTTCGGTGCATAAATTTAATTACCCAAAGAGGAAAATAACATATTAAATAATATGTTAGCGAGTAAAATTTTAAAGAAAACATCTTTAAATTTACTTATTAGTTTCTATCGTCTTTAGTATATAGTGCATATATTTTTTTTAGGAAATTTGGAAAAATACCTCATTTGTGTTTTTAAATTTGAAAAATACATCTTTATTTTTAATTTTTGAAAACTACACTATTAGGATGTTAAATTTACTAAAATAATCTTTATAAAACTAAATGATAATTTATATATCTTATAATTTCGAAAAAATAAAATTAATTTTTTGTGATGATAGTATATTATTAGTTTCGAGTGTAGCCTATAACAATATCTATTTATCTAAGATTTTGATGTTACAAATTGTTTATATCTTTATTTAATTGAACCAAAAGAGTCGAATACCAAACCAATTTTTTTGGGTTAAGATAATGGAATTGTGCTCGGAGAAAAATGAAGCAATCAAATTGATTGACAACTCGATTGGTTTGGAAATAATGAATTAATGTAGATTTATCGAACATTTTTTTATCTTATCTTTAGAAAAATTGTGAACGTTTTTCTCTTCTCTTTTTAAATTGCCGATCAATTTCATTGACTCAGTTATTTGTCGTCATATCTACTGTAACTTATATTTGTAACCGTAGTATTTTTCATCATTGTCATGTATAGTATAATCTCTACTCGTCACCATCATATATATTTATGTTTTATAGGTTTTCTTTGCTGTCTTCGATGCTTAATATATATATTTTTATGTTTTATAGGTTTTTCTTTGTTGTATTTGACGCTTTATAATTAATTACTTGTTATTCATTAGTTTTGCATTCATGTTTGTATTTGTGTGGTCTTTTGATTTAAAGAAAACAAAATACCTTGCATATTGTTTCAAAAAGAGTTATAGATTATTAATTTGGCAGAGATGAAACAAAGTCAACGATTCTCCATGTTTGTATAAATAACACAAGTTTAAATTTTGTTATATTTCTATAGATATGTCTAATAGTAAATTTAAAATTTAAAAACAACAAAACATATTTATCTCA